CTGGATTGATAGAAGATAGTTTGTGGTACAGACCCGTTTTTATCAAACTATTAACATCCGGCTGAATTTTCGTAAATAGATTCATCTCAACGGAAGCTACAAATATTTTATTTAAGAAAATTCTCGGAATCGTATCATTTTCAATCTGGAGGTCGGCAAACTATGTCTATACAATTAGGTACTAAAAACTCGTAAATACCAATTTATTTCCGTTTTAGTTGTAAGATAACTTGAGCACAAAGTGGAGAAAAATTGTGACCTTAAAAAATATTGAGCCGTTTTGAGATACCTGCACCACAAAATTGTCAAAATGACAAGTTATATAGGCCAAATGGCACAATATTTTTGAAGGTCACCATTTTTCTCGACTTTTTGCTCAAGTTTTCTTACGATTTAAGTGGGAAGCAAATGTTCATTAACAATTTTTCAGTAACTAATTAAATGGACAAAGTTTGCCGACCTCCAGATTGAAAACGCCCCAAATCCGAGAATTTTCGTAAATATAATATTTGTAGGTTACGATGAGATGAAGCTATTTACGAAGTTTCAGCCGGATGTTAATAATTTGATAAAAACGGACTAAGACATCAAAAGCTACAAACAAGTTCTTATAAACAATAGGCAAATTTTCAGTAGAAAAGTATGAATCCAAGCTCTTTTTTTGTAAATAAGTCATATTTTTTATTGAATAGGAAACGATAAATAATGAAATATTCAATTTAAATAATTAAGAAACTAAGTTAGCAGTTGGCAGGCATAAATAATTTTATATAACTCAATGAGTAATTAATAATTACGTCACAGTAAATTAGATAAAATTTAATTCAAACGAAAATATAGTTTTTTTAATTTTGAAACTATTTAAAGAAAGCCTTCTTTGAGCAGCTAAATTATGTTTTTAAAAAATCATACATTATTCAGGATTTCCTTTTTATCATCATACAACTATTCTACACATAACCCACTTTTAGAAAAAAAAACTTTTTCAATTAATAAACTTTAAACCTCTATTAAATTATTTGAAGTTTATTAGACAAAAATTAAGATTCACCTCGAGTTGTGTAAAAACATGTTTTTTATCTTGTCAAGTAAAAGTATCTCTGTTTTCAGCAATAATTACTACAATTAATTATTGTAAAGCTTTTTTTCTTGTTTTTCCCATTATATAGGATGCATTATAATAAATAATGCTTTAATGCATTGTTTATTTATAAAATAAATAAATTTGAAAAATATTGATTTTAAAATGTTTTTTATGTAAAGTGTTTATGAAAATGTGCATTTCATCCAGATCTGTATTATAGGAATTCATTCCTATTTACAAGGGACAAACTAAATGTTCTTTATGCCAATATTAACTTTTTTATTAAAATGATTGAAGATATTAACAGGTGTTATTTAATCAGGTGCTGTTTTAAACATACATTTTAGGATTAAAAACATTTATATTGTGACATATAAATACTCATAAATTCCAATAATACACGTCTAAAGGAAAAATGCAACTTAATAAACACTTTACATGAAAAATATTTGAAAAATCATTATTTTAAAAAAATAAATAAATTGGCAATTCAGTTTATTTGAATACATTCCAGATCATATAAAAACAAGATATAGAAGCTGCAACAATTAATTCTGGTAATTTTTTCTGAAAACACGGGTATGTTTAGATTACTAAATCACTTCATTTTCTTACATGACTTGAGGTGAATCTTAAGTTTTTTTCCTAATAAACTTCAATTTAATTAAAAACTTAAAGTTTATTAAACAAGAAAGTTTGTCTAAAAGTGAGATGACTATAGTCGGATGGTGATTGTTAGTTCAGACACTCAAAATTACTCTTTAAATGATTTTAAAAGAAACAAACTTTATTTCCATTTAAAGTAATTTGTTTCTAGTTTACAGCGAAACAATTTTTAATTATTTAAATTGAATTTCTTTAGTTATTGCTAACTATTTAATAAAAAACACAACTTACTATAAAAAAACACAAAAATTGGATTTCCAAGTTTTCTGTTGAATATTAGCCCATTGTTTACATGAACTTTTTTTTGTAGCTCTTAAGGTCCGTTTGTTTGTTTGAATGCCAAGGCGCAAAAACATGCAGGTCATCAGCGCCCGATCAACTAAATAACACTATTTTTATACTGTTTGGATGGTTAGTCCAAAAAATAAGAATATAAAAAAAAAGGATACAAATAATTAAATAAAATGATTAATAGAATAAAATAAATAAATAACAATAACAATAGACGCTTATTGATAATAAGATAGAATAGATAAATAAATAAACTTTCAAAAAAATAGCAATAAATCAATCTCTTGAGGTCTGCTATCACTTCTAAATAAATTTTCCTCTAATTACAGAACAACCTGAATATACCAGTTTGCCATACTGTGCTAAAGCATTGTTGCAACCTTCAATGTGTTATCTATTAATGACTTGTGACTGATAATTATGTTTAACTACTACAATGAAAAAAAACGTGCAATTTAATTATTTTATACAGATACTGATCAACTTATCTGTTTATTATCTATTGTAAATGTTTTATTTTAATGTTATAAATTTCATTAAGCTGAAACCACATATATAAATAACTTTTAGATTTTACGCCTTTATCGGCAATAAATTAGAGATGGAAAACCAATAAACAGCTGCTTAGAGAAACTGGTCAATCAATATCACATGACTTGAAGGCGAGGGAGTGAAGATAGGCGGGGAAAGTAGCTGAAAACATCTACACTACAATGAATGCCACAATAGTAGACTATATACCACATGGAAGGTGCAGAAAAAAAGCAGATGAATAGACCGAACCAACAAAGATGCAATAGAGCCGCGTGCAGATTACTGAAAAGAAAGAGCCCATGATAGGCAGAGGAGTAGGCTTGTTGAGGCGGCATAAGATTTACAAGGTCTATAACGCGAAAAAAAATATATAAAAATAAAACAATATTAAGGAATTAATACCGAAAAACTCCTGAAACGTTTTTATTTTTTATCTCCAAGCCTAATTTATTTGCTTGTTCGTGCTATTTCGTGTCTGCTAAATTCAGGACAATTTTCATGTGGACAAGTGGAGACATGTCGAAGCTGTCACAATCATTGTGATTTTAGAAAAAATAAGTTTTCGATTTCGATTTCATTCGGAAATTTTGAGTTAACATTTTTGCGCTAAAAAAAAATGAGCTCACTTTAATCCTTAGTTCAGTACTAATTGTTTCAATGTTGTACTTGTTTATCCCCCCTAAAAAAAATCATAGTATAATACATATGTAAAATATATGCTTCATTCTTATTTTCGGAACGAATCTCAACAAAGTAGATATTGTGCATGTAATCTTTTTAGAAAAAAATATATATTTGGCACACAGCTATAGTATAAATATAATATTATAACAATTAGTACTAGACTAATCTTGAAAGACGCTTAAATACGAATTTTCAATTTCAATTACGAATAGCAGAATAAAAATGTTTCAAAATTTCCTACTAACCTTCGATTTTTTCCTTCGCAAATCACAAACATTTAAATAATAACGAATAAAAAAATAAACAAAATCAAGAGATACTGAAACCATCAAAGAAAAAAAAGTATCTAAAAATATATATTTTTTTATTTTTATTAAACGCCTCTGCCGTTGGCTATTAGCCAATTGGGCTCCTGGCAGCCCAATACAGCTCCACCATGAATTATTTGTTTACATTTGTTCCGATCCCATCAGAAGTACTGCGGACATCTGACAGAGCAGGGCAAACTGGGAGGTGCAGGTCGTACATCTCGTCCTGTTGGCAAAGAGGGCACACAGGACTTTCCACAACTTCAATCCTATGTAAATAAATGCCTTTGCAGGTAATCGTGCCCTGTTGCCATGCGGAAATTTGCCACCGATTCTTTCCTATTTTTGGTTTGTTTTATCGGTTTTGCTTGCGTCCGTACATTGTACACGTGCCCTTCGGTTATAACTAAATGAGCAATATTGTCGCCGCGAAGACTGTCTAAAAATATAAATGTATACAGAATAAAATAACATTAATACATTCTTACAAATTAAATTGCTCGTGTTTTCTCTTTAGTAGTAAATAATAATTATTAACCACATTTCATTAGTATATAGTACACTTTATGTTGCAATACTTTTTTAGCTAACTTAGAGACATATTTTACATACACACACACACACACACACACACATATATATATATATATATATATATATATATATATATACATAATAATAATTGGGGTCGGAATGGCTGCGTGGATTAAGATGCATGCAATGGGTAAGTTATGCAAGTTCAAGCGTGGTAAGTATTTGAGAGAGGTAACTGCTCAAATCTCCCCCTGCCCTCTTATGTGGCTGTCGGGTTAACGCAGTGTTGAAAGGCATTTATATAGCCCTTATACAGTATTCTTCTGAATTTCTCATCGCCTATAATAAATTTCCTGTGTCACATAATATAACTCCTTTTTTCCTCTCCTTGAACTCAAGAATATTAACAGATTGACTCCAAAGAAGTAAGCGGTGGAGTTGAGTGGTCTGCCACTGGTTTGGACCATGGTCCTTAGAAACGTGAGGTTGGAATTAGAATTGGAATAATTATTGTTAAGAACAGCAATTATCGTTAAGAAATTCACAAATATTTAAGAAGTTAAAAATTTAAAAATGCAATTTTTGGCTGACCTAATTGGTCACCAACTATTATGCATAATAAACACCACTGTATAAGTGAAATGAATAAATAGTAATAATATATAATAAAAAAGAACCTTTATCTAACTTAATAAAAATAAAAACCTGGTATAAGCATATTTATATACAATTTATAAATATCCATTCAATGTTATCCAAGCCAAACTATCACCACTAGTATAGAGGGAAAAACAGTACAACAATATAATTACATAAATTAAATAGTTTCCATTAATCTTATTACTAATACCTAATCACCTATCCCTAAATTAATAATTCAATATTTTTTCCTTGAACAGAGTGCATACCTGGAAGTGGTGATACCACCAGACATCATCTACGAAGACACTTCTGGTGACATGATGGTTCCGGAAGGCAGCTCGGCGAAGTTGATCTGCAAAGCCAGGGGGTTCCCCCCGCCGAAGGTGACCTGGAGGCGGGAGGATGGTGGCGAAATAATCCTCCGTTCTTCCACCACCGGCCACAAGTCCAAAGGTAATTCACAGCTCTAAAATTAATCACAGATAGAAGTATGATGTAATTTTGTTAATGACTATTATTTATATAAATTTATAACGGACAAAAACTCATCAAGATACAGTGATTTAATGTCAAGTTATAACTGGAAAAGTTCCAACACTGCATCCTTGTATCTCTAAAATGCAGATAATTAATAAATACATAACTCTTCAACGTTTCGCCAATTCAGACATCATCAGCACAAAAAAAGAAAACCGCATACTGAAAGAAATTTGAGGTAACGTAGTTGAGGAAGATTATGATTAAACATCTAATCAGAAAAAAAAAACGCTAAACGTCCTAAACTTTGCATATATTAGTATCAATACGATTGCTGGAATATTAACAGAAAATAGCCTAATACTGCATTAGCTCAATATTCTTATGTTTTAAAATCTGAATTTTATTTGGATAATATCCAAGTATTACAGTAAAAGAAGAATAGTTCTGAGACCTATGCGTATTGGATAGAAATAGGATAATTCTGTTAATTGAAAGTCTGACCATAGAAATTTCAATAACTTTTATTCTGAAACGTTTAACACAAGTCGAATAGATCAAGCTAATTTATTTCGTATCTTTTAACTTTGTCTAAGTGATCATCTATTTATGATGATAGCCATTTTTTGATATGCATTTTCAATTAGTTTTATATTATTATAATATTCTTTTTTCTTCTGTGTATGCTTTAGACCACACGTTAGAAGTCAGAACATCAACGAGGCGAGATTGATAATATGAAATATAAATTATAAATAATACCTCATTATAAAGAGGATGAAATGCTGAACTTTTCCTTCGCCTACAGAATGCAGATCCAATTTTTAGTTTCTGGGATCTTCGCTTCTCCAACACGCCGTCGCGTTAAAATACAATTTTGAATAATAGCTCATTACAAAGAAGATGAAATTATAAACATTTCCCTTCACAACAATAAGCAGATCCGATTTTCAGTTTTTAAGATATTTTATTCCATATATTCAATAAAACTCAGTATAATTTGATTTTTGATACTTTTTTTTTCACTTTTCGCCTCCCTAACAAGCTAATCCCTAATTTCTTTATAATAATATATTTAGTAAACGAATAAATATATTTTTTCTGATATCGCTTGTAATTCAAAATTATTAGGTTGAAGAAAGATATATATCTAATGCGAGATTCCTCGTGGTGATAAATTAATAAAATATTAATAGTCTTTCTTTTTGGTTTTACAAACTAAGAAAATTATTTTTTTCTAATTATTCAAATCAGACAATATTCAAACCGAATATTATTGACTTTCGTGACAAATTGTAATATTTCTGAACTAATATTAAAAAATATATATATATTGACTTAATATATACTTCCTATTTAGGATGAATATTAGGTAAGTTGAATTTCGGTAACGAAAACATCAACATATATTTATTTACAAGTTTCTGGGTATGGAAATGCAGTGTATACAACAAATATTACTACGCAGCGTTGACGACATGACGTTATGACTGATTGGATTATGATCGATTGTGGTACCGCGGCCAACTGTATATGTTAACAACTTGTATATATAATTAGTCCTTCAAGGAACAAAGTTCAGTACTCATTACTAATTCTTCACTGAATATCATTAAATTAATATTATTTTCTAGGAAGAGTGGGTACAACAATAGTTAGAAATTTAAATAATACGGTAAAACTCCGAAAATGTTCACTAAATTTAACTGTGACGGTATTATTGAAGTGAAAACATCTTTAGGATCATTTCGCATTCTTTTTATGCGGAGCGAATGAAACTGAGCCGTCAGTCTCGGATGTATAACGCTCATTCGGGCAATTTCGGCATAAATCGACTAATTGAAGTGTTTTTGCATATGGATTAAAATATCTCAGAAACTGAAATTCGGACATGCATACTGTAAGCGAGAGAAATGTTCAGCATTCCATTCCCATTGTATCGAGTTATTATTATAAAATTGTTATTATTATTAAATTGAATCTTGTCGCGACGTCGTGTTAGATAGGCGAAAAGAAAAAATACAGAGCAAAAAAAAACAAATGATAACGATTGTTTGGAACGTTTGGAGTAAAATGTCTCAAATTTAAATACGAAAAGAATTCAGAAATCAATATGCAGAAGTCAACATCGATATATATATTTTTTTAATTATATGCAAAAATGATGAATGAAAAATCAAGTGTTTACATTATCCCATCACAGAAGTTTTATTTTAAAAAATCTGGTGCACCCAACACACAACTTTCACTTACTGCTCAACTTTGAATAGAAATTATTTTCTGGCCATGTTGGGCTGTTAAAAAAATTTTTAATTGAGCTAAAGCTAAAAGATTACAGCTAGAAAATTATAAATACCATTATAATAACAGAAGTATTATTTATTATATCACCGGTTGATTATGGGTTGTACGATCCGTTGATTATGGATTGTACGATCCGTTGATTATATATTGTACGACTACTATTTATTAAACTGTTATTTTCCATTGCAAAGTTTACTAAAATGCAATTAAGAGATTTGCATTTTCTGTCAATGACAGGTCCAAAGTTGTCACGCTAATTGTAAGTGGATACTGTTTGAAAATCACAACAATCAATTTCATCAAACTATTCACCAATTTAATTTTCTAAAAGGGTACATTACAATATTTCGGAATAAACGGACGTTGATACCTAATTATTTAAATATAATATCAGATCTTGAATAAATGTACTTAAGGCTATAAACATATGGTTTATATATCCATGAAATGATTTTATATTTTGCTTCTCCTTTCACACAAGTATATTGAAATATTTTTTTAAACAATGCCATTGCCTTGATTAGATGGATTATTAATACTTTTTTCAAACGTAAAAATATTTTTTATAAAAGTATTAAAATATATAAATTTTATAAAATATATTTTATAAAAGTTTACATTACCTTCTACAACTTTCTATATTAGATACATTTTTTTCTAAAATTCTCTGCTTTCCAACGATATATTATAAGTATACCTTCTGACTTGTATTTCCGGATTTTCATTTTTGACCTGTATAAGCATTATTATTTGTTTCTCCTTTATTCAAATATCGAATTCTTTCAAAAGTTATATTTACCATTTTTTCGTAACTTTTAATAATTTGAGATTATTAATTATTTAAAATAAACTATATTAAAGGTACATTAAAGGAAGACATATATGAACATCGCCATTTAAGCTCCGTAATGAGGCATCAACAAGGATAAGACCTAAATGATATTAAAAACTAATTAATTATACAATGATACACCGAGTTTAATCAAAATCTTAAGAACCGTTTTTGAGAAAATTGTCAAAATGTGTTTCAGCGTTGAAATAAAGTGGCACTTCCGGTCAGCCAATTTTAAGGAAAAAGTTGTGGTCACATCTAAGGTTTATACCAATCTTAAATACGTAATATCAAATAATTTGATTATACCAATCAAAAAGCACTTTTGATTTTTGAGCTAGACATACAAACCCACAGACATACAGACACACAGACCATTTTTCGGAACTTGGTTATTTGGACTCAGGATATCACAAAATGTGTATTTCCGTTGAAAACTAAGATTCGAAAATCGTCACGATTGCAATACTTATCATTACTATATATTACATATTACATACATAACCAAGTAAGTGAAAGTAAAAATGTTTCAAGTGTAAAGTGCAGGCAGGATGTTCTAACTTTACAGAGCAAAAAGTCATCTAGTTACTTAATGAAATTATTGTTCTATAAATAAATTTAAAGAAGAAAACCAAAATTCACTATCTGGTACATAATTATTTCTTTTACTGGACTAATTGATCAAATGGTTAATAAACTGATTAAGTGAGGTTAGTCTAACTCATATAATTTGTACTTGCAAGGTTATAAAAGTAAGCTACTGTTTTGTTTAACCATAATCGTGTGCAAAAAGTCACTCTATGCTAGTTTTAGTTTCCTCATAGTTACCCATATGTTGATTATTTTAATTAATTAGAGGAAATATAATACATTATATGTTATTTAGAATCGCAAATAAATAGTCAAATCCTATTTTTTCATTGAACCAGAAATTTCAAGAAAGAGAATCACTTTATTATCATAAAATGGTGCTGCCCAATTACATTGGGTTGCTAACAACACAGCATACTTATTTAACACTACAGACAATTTTAAAAATAATATACAATTATAAAGGATTAACAATATGTATGAGCATAGTATACAATATTTTTTTTACACACACACACACACACATATATATATATATATATATATATATATATATATATATATATATATATATATATATATATATATATATATATATATATATATATATATATATATATATATGTATTATTATTTCTTTTTTGTATATATTTTTTTATTTGTACCATTTCTTTCATTCATTTATTATCATTCTCAAATTCATTTAAATGTTACTAATGATTTGTTCTAAAAAACCGGCGATTTAGTCTTTTATACATATTTTAATATATTCTACATATTATAGTATGGAATCTGTCACATTTTCGTTCATTTTCATATTATTAATTTAATGTTTCTATTTTTGATAATTTAAGAAATTTTTGTTTCTCAGGACATTTCGGATAATCATTTAACAAACAATGAAATTTTCAACAAAAATAAACATTAAAAAATAATCAGAAAGTTTTAATTATTTAATTATAAATAAATAATAAACTATTGTTTTACTAACGCGTTACCTGGGTAAGAAAAGACGTGTGAGTTATTTTTTTTATAGATACTTTTGATGTATAACTTATAGGAAACAATAATCCTTGTTTTATAATTTGTAGTGGTGTTCCTAGAGAGGGAAATATTTTTTAAGAGAACTTTTTTGTGTTCATTTTTATGGGTTCTTAAAATAAATTCCCCAGAACCCAAATGGCCTAACTAATATATTTTTTATTGTTCGTCATCAAAAAATCAACGAAACTGATTTATTTTCAACATG